ATTATTTATTTATTTATTTATTTATTTATTTTTTTATTTATTTATTTATTTATTTATTTATTAATTATTTATTTGTTGTTTGTTTTGGTAGTTGACCATTTTATTTGTGTAGATGTTGTTCTCCAAACTCTTGTTAAAAATGCTGGGTCATTGTTGTTTGAAAAGTTTAAAAACCACTGTTCTAAGTAGACTAGAGTTTGTGAGGTCATACACATTAACTTGCAAGTCAAAGTTTGGTTTCCCTTGGCTGTTAAACAAAGCCTCGTTTACACGCAGTATGCCAATTTGTATCGTTGTTCACTGTACATAAACGGAACAAGTGAGGGGTGACGAGTTTGCGATTTAATTGAAACCCCGAATGTTAGCATGAAAACCCATGATGCGCACTCCAGTATCGTGTTATCTAATATAGACAAGTCAAAAATAGATTGGTTTACATGATAATCATACATCGGCGACTTCTACTTTCCAAGACATTTTCTTGTACTCATATTTACGCTAGGTTGAATTACAGACCATTCGAATTTTAAAAGCAATGTCGAATTGATCATGTTCCAGAACTTGAGTTTTGCGTGCATGTCCGTTTAACAGATTTTTCTTAAAATTCATACTGTTAGTTCTTTGCATTTTGGCAGATGCGCTCCAGCTTCAAACAAAGCTGCGTGGATGTGCTAGGGGGGGGGGGGGGGGGTTGAACTTACTCCTTACGAAATCTTTTGCATAAGAGTGGCGTAATACCTTTATATATATATAAGGTGACAGACTGGAGTTTCAGTGTGCCTGCAGATGTCTATCTTCCTCCTATCTTATACCTCACTTGACTTTTATTTTATTTCTGTCATTTACCTGTGTGAACTGTTCTTCTGTTTCTGTTAATACAGTGTTAAGGACTTCACCTTGGCCTGGTATGTCGTTGTTTCTTTCTTTCTTTCTTTTTTTTGTACCCCATCAGGACATCACATGACACAAAGTGCCACCATGTGGATGAGGATTACCCGTGGAGAGACCCCGAAAACAGCGTTTAGTCATTAGATATATTTATGACAGGTCTATATCGGGGCCACTGGCAAGAGCCAGGGTGGGGCTTCGAAATAATGAAACATTACATCCCACAATGAGATTACTGGTTTCTATGACTATGTCATTGTTGTGAAGATTTACCATCTTAAGTACCAATCCAGGTCAGATTACGTATGACTGGTTCGAAAAATCTACAGTTGCTTTATAGTTTACATCTAATAAGCCTTCAACACTTTTTTTCTAATTTGTGTTGGTCCTGAATTCGACGAATGTTTGTTGTTTGTTTTATCTGTCACACATCTAGAGTTCGTTGAAAGAGCTAGGAAATTCGTGTTTTGTGCAACGCTTTTTGGTAGGCATCTTGCTGATCTACAGAGAAAGACCTAGCCGTAAGGGATAAACACCTGGTACACTAAAGTCTATCCTCTCTACCTTAAACATCTTTTGTGTCTTCCGGTCAGTATGCCTAGTTTACGCGTCTAACAATAGTAAAGTGCTTCCCACCAGGAACTCTGAAATACACACGAAAGAGTGGGCTGTTACTTTAGTGTACCGGGTGTTTATCCCTTACGGCTAGGTCTTTCTCAGTAGATCAGTATGTCTAGTTTACGCTTCTAACAATAGTAAACTGCTTCCCACCAGGAAGTCTGAAATACACACGAAAGAGTGGGCTGTTACTGTTACCGTTGTTATGCTAATATTGCTACATCATTATAAAAAGCACGACGTATTATATCTAACTCCATCTAACGTTTGATAATTTTTAAAAGCTGGATTTTATCTGGTGAATTTTATCTAAAGGGGCAGAAACAAATCACCTCTATCTTACATTGTGTTTCTTGCCTAAATAACCACGAATTAATCGTGCGCTGTTGGCCGATTCTGTAACCACTTGGTGGTCATTTCTATGTGTTGATTTTCAACCCCAAAACAGGTCACATCAGTTGTAAACTCTCACTCTCTCTCTGTCTCTCTCTCTCTCACACACACACACACACACTCACACACACACACTCACACACACAAACACTATAGAAGTTGAGGCCTGCCCTACGATCTTCCAACCATCGCTAAACGACCATAGACAATATCGCTTGGAGATCAAGCAGTTTGCTCTGAATGTCTTATGTTTGCTTTAGGCCACGTCTATCAGTTTACTGGTGTCATTTGTACAGAGATCCATGGGAACCGTCGCTGAAGATACGGAGCTCGTGCTTTCCTCGACGCTCTCCGCGGGCGGCTAGCCGTTTTGTGGAGAGACACCGAGCCATAAGAGATAAAACCTTGTGTGAATTAAATCGATCCTCTGCACCTGAAATTTAACTCAAACATTTTCGTGTGTTTAACTAAACATGAGA